GGTTTCTTCAGCTGATGAAAATGAAAATCAACTTGACAACGATGGGAATGAGGTTCTGAGCAGCATTGCTATGGGACGACAAGCTAAAGGTGAGCAGGACAGCATCAATAATAATGAGAATATGGACAGTGGAGACTGCACTCCAAGCTGTAAGGAAGATGAAACTGAGAGGAGATCTGTAAATGTCCGTATGGACCCCCAGCTGGAGGAAAAGCCTATTACAGAAAAACAGCCAGGTGGAAAAAGAAGTCCAAGAAGCAAAAGAAGCTCCAGTAAAAAATCTAAAGGTACTTTATAAAAAAATATTTTTATTCTATTTACTGAAAATAATAACACTGTAGTTCTAATCTGTGAACTAATAAGAAAGATGTATTTTAGTTGTCATACTAATTATTTTAAAAATTTCACTAAAGTGATTTTTTGTTGTTGTTGTTTTGGGTTTTTTTTTTCCAAACTGTTAATAGTCCTGAATCGGATTCAGTTCTAGATGTTTTCACCTTCTCTATTTCAATGTTGGCTATGTAGCAAATGGAACATATCAAGGAAGCACAAGTAGAGGGAGGTGCAGAGTTTGGCCTGACTTTCAAAGCAGAATTGCCAGAAATTCAGGCAATATGATTTTGTTCATTTGAACGTTGTGCTCGAGTGCAAGATTTTGGTATCTTGATCCAGTGTCAAGATTTGAAATCTTGGTATGAGTACCAAATAGACTGATCTTGGTCTGCTGTTGTCAGGATTTACCTACTTTTTCAAAGCTTAATAGATAGTCCTAGGATATGCATTTTGGGTAATGAGCTGTTCAACAAATATGTTTCTACCAATTTTTGATGTTACTTCTCCTTTAGATCTTTTGGATATGAATTGGGTAAGGAAAATGTAAATTTTTATTACATGTTCTTATTTGAGATGCTTCTTCCCTTTTTGAATGAGTAGGATTTGTCTGCATCAACACAATGTGTTATTGTATTAGGTTTTTCCCATAAACTCAAGTTTATATGTCATAGTCATGCAAATATATTAACTAAAATCACTGTTTCATTGTATAAGTATCTTTGAAAGTTGCTTGAAACAACTGAATCATGCCTGCTTTTTTTTTTCCCCCGATGTATTTTTTTTTTTTCTTCTAAACACTGAGAAGATGGGGAATTTGGCTACTTAAAATAGGTAATTTTAAAATACAGTTTTCCTGCTAAATGGCAAGTCTTTTATTGCCTAATCTGAAAACTGATGATGATCTTAAAGGACTACAAAATAGGTAAAGAAAGGAAAGGAAGGAAGCCTTGCGTTCCGTGTCTTGTACTTACAGGCAATATCTAGAAGAGAAAAATTATATTTTCTAGTAGAGATAAGAGGATCCTGAAATCTGTCATTACAGGGAGAATGAGTTCTTATGAAATGATGCAGAAGGTCATTAAGTGTATATTTCAACTGCAGATTTAATGTTTAAAAATAGAACAAAATACTTAATTAAAACTAGAGATTGGCAGAAGTAATTGAGAACCAGTCATCTGTACGACGGGAATAACAAAAAACAAGTTGATGAACTGTGATACAGACATGTGGACAGAAGTGTCTGAAGCACAATGAGAGGAAAAAAAGGAGAAGTTCACCCAAACACTGAAAGTTAAACTTTACCTGTATTCTCTCTCCGTTAGTTTGAATTCTTGTTGATAAATGCCATCAACTGTTGCAGAAGCGCAGCAGAACGAGCTGTGCACAGTAAATGGCAATTTTAAGGCAAAAAGCAGAAAGCTAAAATATAGAAAATTTCATAGAAAAATCTAGAGACGTAGAAAACCACAACATAGAACATCTTGCCTGCAAAACTTTCTTCCCATGAACAAACTCTTACTACTTTATTAAGCAAGAACCTTGACTGTTACAGAAAGAAGATCAAACTATAAAATTACATTATATCTCCCATTGCCTACAGGCTAATTTACATTCAGCTTTTTAAATATTCTCACATGATCGTTCTCCTGTTTTCACACAATGCGATGCCTGTCACAATTTCTTGTTATCACGCATGTCTTTATTTTAGTAAGAATCTTCCTTTTAATTTTTAACACCAACTGTTCTAAACAATTCCTGAGTATCCCTCTATGTAAAAGAACCAAACTAGCTTTCTTGTCTTTATACCAACTTAGAGATAAAGGAGAGAATAATCAAGCAAGAATGAAGATCCCTGAGTGGGTGACAGCAGAGCGTCACACAAGCGAGCTGGAATGACGAACTAAATACTTGCATAGCATGTATTATGATGATTTTTCTTTTTAAATTTTTAACTATTGAGAAATCATGAATGAGTTGCTTTGAGTCATAGCTAAAGAAAAGATTTATGGATCTTCTCCTCTTTCCGTCTAAGCAAACCAGTTAGGGTCGCTATTAAGTGTTGCCATTCTGGAAGAGATGATATTTGACTTAAAAAGCATGTTGTTCATCTTCCTTCTCTTGCTAGTGGCTAAAACAATAAACCTGGAGTATAGTAAACTACAATTTACTGATTTTAATTTATTCAGGACTTGCTCAGCAGAAGATTGGTGATTATTAGAGAAGCCAATCTTCCGCTCTGGACACGTGTTTTTACCTCAGAAGAAAGAGCAAGTATTTGCACTTGCAATGCATTTGAAACCCTCTAAATGTTTGCTTGTAAAGCACAAACAGTTTTAAGGATTTGATTATTTTGTTTCTGTATATTCCTGCAATGTGTTGCAGCTAGAATTAGCCTAGCTCCTACCATCAGTTGACTGAGGTGCAAGGTTAAGAAGCACTGTGTCTGGTTGAAGATTCACCTAGTTCGATATCCTGTCCCTGACAGTGGCCAGTAGTGGATAGGTAGGTACGAGTGTAAGGACAAGGCAAAGAGGTAGCGATTTGTTGATCTGTTCTCTTTGCCATCAGCAATTGCTCATTCAGGACTTCCCCAAGTGGGAACTGGTAGACTGTAATAGCTTACAGTGAATTTGTCACCTGACTTGCAGCTGTTTTTTGAGTCTGTTTTGGTGTTCTGGAGTAAGGAGTTCCAAGATTTCACCTATGTGTTGTTTGAAGAAGCACCTCCTTTTAGCTGTCTTGGTGCTGCAGCAGATGTATTAGAGTGACTTGACAAGTCCATAGCTTCCAGATCCCAGATTTCTCTCACATTCTTTCTGTATGCTAATAATAGTTTTGGATAGACTATGATTACATCTTTTTAAGGAAGACACTGGTGTTCAAAAAAGTGAGGTAAGTTTAAATTAACAAATTTAAACTTTGGTGATTATTCATACTTGGTTTCCTTGTAATGAATCGTACTAACTTTAGTGCAGTAGAGAGAGTGATTCATGAAATGTCATCTGCTTCAATGTGTTTTTGTAAATGTGGACTTAAATTATCCCTGTTCTCTGAATATAATTTTGTCTTTCGGAAAAAGATCAGCCCTGGCATAACTAGACTTAATATTGTAAAATCACATTGTGTAATTCCTTAATGTAGTGTAGCATGGTAACTTGCACTTAATCATTTTTCCCCAAGTTAAATTCTGCAACGTATACTTTACTGTAAATTATTCAGCTTATTTCTTGAAGCAGCTTGAAGGTTGGGGAAGAAAGTGGAGTGGTTGGGATGGATTTGCTGTTGCAGCAAATGAAATATATCAATATAAACTGGTTGAATTATATGAAAAGTCAAGCAATGTTATTTTATTTAGGGTTCTGTGCCACACTAAACAAGATTTTGAGCTTGCTTAGTTAGAGTTATATCTTTACAGCCAACACTCCTGTCTTTTAAATCTCTTCTCTTGAAAATGAATTTTTTTTTTTAAATACTTGCTGGTCTTTTTTTTTTTTTTTTTAATCTTGAATGAATCAGTCTGAACCAGCTTTCTGCTATTGAATACCAAAGGATGTTTAAAAAAAGAGATTACCATATGTTTTCTGTACTGGAAACTTCTGTTACTGCAGACTTAAGCTAATGCTACTGAATGTGAAAATCAAAATTCAATTAAAAACAGAGGACAATATCTATAATTTTATTTTGATATCTTTATTTGATAGCAAATGTCTCATACTTGCACCTCTGACTCATTTTCAGACAGGTGGCAAGAGCATCTTAATTTCATATACTTGCAGTACTGATAAAACAAAAAACGATGATATTGAAAATGTGTTTGTTGTTTTTAGTCACAGGGTCTGGCAAAATTGAAACTTTTTGCAGACATTGTGTTGCTTCTGTGAACTCTTAGGGAAATTTTGTGGAAGCTTGCTTCTCTCCATGTCTTAGGAAACATTGGCACACTCAACTGGGCTTAGAAGATGTCAGTTGAAACCCCTGTGAGTGAGAGCAGAAACTTGAACGCAGCTCTCTGCCATGTTCTTAGTGAGTGCTCTGGCTACTGGAGAGTTGATATTTTCTGTGTCTTTTCACGTTTATTTTCATAAAGGCTTTGGTTCCATTCTAGTTTGGAACAAGATGATTTTTAAATATTCACTTTGCAAAGTGAAAAAACTTCATCCTTGCTTCTTAAAATATCAGAAATATTTGTAAGATACCAGTCTTTAGTAAAAAAAAAAAAAAATCTGCTTTGGACAGTAAGATTGATTGATTCCAGAAAAAAGCAGTGCTGTGGGCCCTTTTCAAGAACACGGAGAAAAAATAAATAAATAGGGATTTTATTTCATCAGAAAGGTGTTATGGGCCAGCATTACTAAGTGTTGCTGCCTCAAGAAAAGTTCTTGATTGTAGAGCTACTAAGGCACAAATGCTGTCTTGTGCTTAAAATAGAAGAAGGTGGAGTTAACCTGAATGGCTGTGAGGCGTTGCTTCAGAATCAGGGGAGTAATTTGAGGGCAGAATTTGATTCCGAGTGGGTGACAGCTCAACTATATGTAGGAATAATATGCAATTAATAAACTGTGTTAGCAACAGTACCACAATATCATTAAAATGAAGGTTTTTCATGATAGTTGCTATTGAGCATGTTTCAGTCAACGTTCACGTTTTGATATGACAGATGATTATGAATTACTTAATAAAGTGCAGTTTGAAGTGACTTTTTTTTTTTCCTGAGAGAAAGGTTTGCCAGAACATGAGGACCCTCTTCTGATTTCATGATCTTGTGCTGAACAGAAAGCTGTATTTTTAAAGACAGCCTTAATTCCAGTTCCATCTCTAAAAGTACTTCCTGGTTTGAATCTTATATCCAATTATGTCTCTTGTTGCTCTTGGCCCACAGCAAGCCCAAATAAATACTGGGAAAGCAGAGACACGCATTAATATCAAAAAAAGCAATGCTGTTATACCCATATTTTGTCTGGCAATAAGCCCTGTGAAAATTGCCACACACAGAGATTATTATTACTCCTGACCTGGGTAGTTTACTTAATAAAGAGTTTAAAATAACCAAAAATAAACAGTGGAGCCTTCAGTGGACGAGCTAATGCCTTTCTTAAGCCCTAAATCTTAAACCTGAGTCATTGCTATAAGGTTTCATTTGCGATGAGCACAAGGGGGTCTGAAATATGCTGAGAGCCTAAACTGTAGAAACAGAGTCGAAGCGTGATGGTTACTTGAAACAGAGCCCTCACCTGTCCTGCTTTTAAATGATAACGTGCTTTTCAGAAAATGAGTGTAGTTGGGGAAGAATAACATGCTCATCATAACTTGAGCTTATAAAAGTTTATTGTGCACATTTCAGTGGCCAAATTCTCTAAATTGTTTTAAAACAATTATGGGATTATTGATTTTTTTTTTTAAAGTTCAGTTCTATGTAAATTTATCAACTTCAATGTCATTTTATGAAAAAAAAAAAAGTTCATGAATTGGTGGAATAAACTGTAGTTCTCTGGTTACTCCTAAGACTGTGTGTTATAGGAAGCCATCGTTTATTGCTTTTATTCTCTGATCTTTGTGATAAACTGGTCCAGTCTGTATATGGGTAGCTGATTTTTCCCACTGCTACTGCCTGCTCTACACTTCTTCCCTAATCTCATTTAACATTTCCTGATAACTATCGTATTCATGATCAGCAATATTCTCCAAAAATTGCCTTTCGAACAATAAAATGTGGGGTTTGCACCCAGAAGGTTTTTCCTGTAATATTTTTGTACTGTTATGCTTTACATTATCCTTCACTTATGTTGCCAGTCCTCCACCTACATGTCTGACTTTTTTTTCACTTCTGTAAAATTGGAGACAGGCAACAGTAGACTGCTAGGGAATGTACCATGGAGAATGTAGCAAGAAGTCCTGGAGGCTAAATTCAGTTTACACATCCTCGTGTCGTTGTTACCAACTTAGATCACCACTACTTGCTCATTCCCTGGACTCTCAAATAAACTATTCAGCTATCTAGGGAGGTCATCCTTTCACTCAGGAGGACTGTCCACCTGGGCATCTGTCCCCAATGATAGAATTCCCCACTGTCATCGTCTGCATCTTTCTATCCTTTAAGATCCTGTCATCACTGTGAGGAGCCACTGTGGTATCATCTGAAGAACAGCTCAAATTGTTGGTCTTTCCTTCCTTCCTAGGACTTCTCCGTGTACAAGCTCCTTGGCAGGAGTGATGAGACCAACTGAGAACCTCTTTCATACTCTCCTCGCCTGCCTTCTTTTTGCCTTTTTTGAGCAAAACCATTTTGCAAACAGCCCTGCTTGCTGCCTCTGCTATGTTATGATTCAGTCTTAATGTAGGCTTTGTCCACTTGGATCCAATATTAATTTTTTTTTGTAGCTGAAACTGTAACATCAGTCACAACACTTTTTATTTTAGGTCATCCTGGTTTCTTATTTATAAAACTCTGTAGAACAGTTTAGACTAGGTGGTGGTTGTTTTTTTTTTTACCCCAAGTTAAAGTCAGGTCCCAGTTAGAAGTGTACAAAAATACCTGATCTATGTTACTGTATTTTTTCAGGTTAGTGAGCTGACTCTGAGACAGGCCTGTTACAACTAATTTTGACAAGACCAGTATTTTATTTACCTGCAGGAATGTTATTTAAGATATTAGGTTTTTATTCACAGCTTTTGTATTGGAATTTCCTGAAAAAGCAACTTGACGTATTTTTTAGATCCTAACATAAGTACTTATTCTTTTTAAAGGAGTTCCTACAGTGGGAACCACAGCAGTCAAGGAGGAAAATACTCTTATTACAGATACAGATTCTGTGCATGCTGAAGGTGCTGTTGAAGCAAATGAAAACTTTCACCAAAAAGAACAAAAACGAACGTTGCAGTCTCTTTTCTCTTTGCTCCGTGAAGAGGTTGAGGAGGTGGATTCAAAAATACTGCCCCTGTGTCTCCATCAGGTACTTCCTATGATTCTGAGGTGTTGCACACGATTTTGGTTTTATCTGAGACCTTTATTAATTAGGAAGAAATGCATTATTTCAACATATGCCAATATTTATATCTAGACAGGATATTTTGTATAAGAGGTGGTCAAGGCAAATATCTAAGGTTTTCTAATATATGTTAAATTATAAATTGGCTTGAAAGTATATTCTGCAGTTAAAGGAAACTCGTAAGACCAGGTTTTCTAATTTTCCAAATGATACAATTCTAGTTTGGCAGCAAGATTTAGGAAAATCACTCTTCAACATACTTTAAATATGGTTTGTAAGATACTGGGATAGATACAAGACAAGCTGATGTCTAAATAACATTTTAAATCTGGTATTATTTTTACTATTGCAGACTTCTTTCTAGCATGAATGCTAAGATTCAAGGTTTCTTAGTGTATACTTTTTTATAGCACAGTTGCCACACCTGCCACACCAAAGGAAATACTGTGTGATTTGAAAAGCAATCTTTTTTACTAACTGGCAGGTATGTTTTTCTTCCTGGAGGTTATGATGCAAGGTGAGTATGTTGATAGGACTTGATGCAGTATTAATTTGTAGTTTAGTTGTGTCAAACTAACAGTGAACTAGAAGACTTTTTGTTTGGCTATAGTGTCTGATATAGGATATATATATATACACACTATACAGTGTCTGGTTTGACTTAGTTGCATTATCTTCACTGTGGAAAATCAAGTGGTTGTGATATTTTAAACTTCTAAACTGTGATGGCACTCCTGCATTCTTACTGTCTTTGACATAAATCAGCGATTATATTTGAGAAAGAGGTTTCTTTTTAGTGTTGCAAATTATAGATAGTTTACATTTGACTAATTTATTTCTTTTTAATCTGTGTTTAGGTGAAGATATTTCATATTGTTCCTTAATTTATTCGAAACTTAGCACTAGGGTTAACCATTTGTGCTTGTAGCTTTGCTGAATTTGGTGGCTGTTCATGAGTCAGTACAAAGGTCTGTTTTGGAAAACACTACAGTTAGGGCAAAAACTTTAAAACTGTTTACAAACATTAAGGGGTGTCATCGAACATGACAGAGGTGAAATCTGTTTGCTGCTTTTTAGACGAGAAAGCCAAACCCTAAGGGTAGCAACCTTTTCAAAGTCCCACAGGAACTGTGACAGAACTGAGAACAGAATCTGCATTTCCAGATTCAAACATGTAATCAAACACTATCTCTTTTTTCCTAAGAAATGTCAAGTGATTTTTAATGGAGTGTGTGAAAGAAAGCTAACAGAACTTACAGGGATCATAACACACTTTTTAATCAGGAGAAAAAATAAAGGATTTTAAAGATAACATTCATGTTTTCATGTGAAGTGAGCCTATTGAGAATTTTTTTTTCCTTTTCCAGCAAATGAACCTGTCATCTTCAATCTTTTTTTTCAGATGGCTAATACAGCCTGCCAGTAACTTTCTTTTATGCCAAGTCCAGCAAATACTCTTCTATCACATTCTCTTTTTATTCATAAAGTTCAATGTCAAACAAAGAGCTACGTCAGATATTCTGGAGTATTAACAATCCACATTGTTAGTGGGAGGACTGTATTAAATATTTAAGGACTGTGGGATATTAGGGTGTGTTCTAAGGGTTAACTTTTAATTAATTAAAACAGGGTGTAATTTTTGTCCTGTCTTGCATGGGATTCATGTGATTTGTTTAGCACTTGATACAGAACCTAAGAAGTACTTATATATGAAACAAAGATACAGAGCTTTGGTAGCTCCAGAAATCCTTAGAAGACTACTGTGAGTAGCAGACAAAATATGCAAATAAAGAACCTTAGAAGTCACTCACCAATTCTCTTTTGGAGGTACTGGACTCAGAGTGGTCTAGTGGTTGGTACTAAGAGTAAGAGCCAGGAATATGCAACTTGTAATCTGGAGTCCTCCAACAAGTTGCTGTCTTTTTTGAGCAATCACCTTTAGACTTTTACAAAAGTGCCTACTTGTTAAGCCCTTAATTATAAGTGCCTAAATTCATATGCCCCAAAGATTTTGAGACTGAATGTTTTTGTGCTCCCACAGAAGGCCTTGGAGTATCAACTGTGAGGTATCTCAACCTGAATGTTCCGGTCTCAGGGTTCCTGCAATTACAGGACACATCTTGCAAGCGTGGCCCTTGCCACACCATGCATGGCAAATAGGAAGACTACCAAATTTCACTGTCCCTGAAGATTGATTAGTTGGTGCTTGTAAAGATCACTGATACTGTAGAACTCTGTGGAACAAAAGGTTTATTTTTTTCATTTTATTCCATTTATGAACAAAGCTATCAGTATTCCTCAGCTTTCTAGGAAAGCCTGCCCAGTTTTCTAGCAAGCACAAATAAATTTTTTTTGTTGCAAATCTCAGATTATTTTTCAACAGGGAGGAACTAGAAGAAAAATGTTTCGGTTAGCATGTTAGCTTTTCTATACAGTGTTACACCTTTTCTTTCCAGGTATCAGCTCTATTTTTTCTATAGTACTCCCCACCACCAACTCAAAGTGAAATTCTAATTCTAATTAGAAACATGCTTGTTTTCTGACTGTCTTTGGACACTTACTTTCTCTGGGCTGGTCACATGGACTCTGGTACAATGGTGTCTTTGCCCTTTTAGTCCAAGAAATAATCTTTATGCCAGTTCTGTGAGGGGAGGGCAAGGGGGGAAAGCAAAACCAAAACAAGTCAAAGCTGAAACTGATACTTTTACTTGATTCACAGAAAAAGTGTGGGGTTTTTTTTTCGAACTGGCATCTTGACTTTTCTTCTGGAAGTTCTGCCACTCCATGCTTGTAATTTTGGCTTTGAAATAGCTGGTTGAAAGTAAAAGCATCACTGGGAAGCGGATCAGTAGTCTGCAGTTAAAATATGTAGCTTTGATATAGCAATAACTTGGGATACCGGAACATAATTTTCTCTTATGCTTGCATGCCCATGTTCTTGGTTTATACGCAGCTCCTCAGTGTATAAATCCTTGGTGAGCATATATTTACTGTTCCTTTTTGCAGTGATCTGCTAAAGATAGGTGTTATAAAATTATCCAGTCAGGGTGAAGTTGCTTTTTAAGATGTTGCAGCTAGACGCACATTTAGGCATAGAGATTTTGTGTTCAATTCCTGGTCATTGGCTGAGACGGCAGCTGTTACAGCAGCATTTAACGTCAGCTTCCACATTTCGTTAAGCTGGAAGTGCTGGAGACTGACTTAGGTGTTAAAGTATTTTATACGTAGCCTGTCGTATGCTTTATTTTCCTGGTCCTCAGTAACTGCTTTGGGATGATTTTTGTTCTCTATATTAAACCTTGTTAGCACTTTGAGCTTTAAATAGAACAGGAAAAGTTTGCCTATTTCTTGTGTTGACTCCCTGGTATTTTGTTTTGATGTATTTGTATTAGCTCAGCATCCATCTAAGAGAACAAATCTTGAAGAATTGTGATTTTTAGGAGTTTTTTTCCAGTGGTCGTTTTTGGCAGAGCCATCTTGTTAGAAATCCAGTTTTAATTATTCTGTTATAGAAATGTCGGCCTAAGGAGGAAGAGCCTCCATGTCCTAACAACTACAGTGCAAATCAAAGAACTGCCATATGGCTTAACTCCATAACTTGCTGTATTGTTGAAGAGCTTCACATACCAAGATGTTAGGCTTAATGAACTGACACATGAGGTAGAGGATCTTTAAAACTTTTTAACATGAAAGAGCAGCTTCAGGAAAGGAAGTGACAGAAGGCTGCTGCAATAGTATTGTCTGGCTTCTGCACGTGGCCTAGGAGTAATATAGAAAAAAATGAAGAACTTGAGTCCTTTTATTTTTATCTTATGAATTTCAGATACTCATATTGTAAATTTTTAAAATACACAGAATTTGAATTCTATGTATTTGAAATATTTACTGTAAATAGGATATAAACAGGACAGTCATTCATATGTCTCTGATAGGCAATATTTTTAGTGTCTTTTATCCAAAGATTATTCTTTTCTTTTCAGTCAGGAAACTTCCTTTTCTCCATTTTAGCACATTGCACTGTAATGCTCAGGAGAGCTCAACAGTGACCTTAATTTGGTCAAACATAAGGAAGCAATGATCAGTAACAGAATTCAGACTCTTCAGCTCATATCAGTAAAGACGGTACTTCTGTTCTAGGTCATTTTAAAACTTTCTAATATGATCATTTAAAAAGTTTCTGAAATAAGCCTTTGTTGTTGTAACAAGATAAAACCCAACTAACATTTGAGCAAATCCGTTTCTGTCAGAGGACTTTGTATTTCTTTATTGTTTGATATTCTTTTTAACATCTTTCCTAGAATGAGAATGCATGTATTTAGTCTGAACATTTAGTATTTAGTATTTTACCCAAACTAAATATGAACCTGCAAAACAGATGTTTAAAACTATGATAAAAAACTGTCATGAAAATTATAGAATCCTTTTTTTTTTTTTTTTTTTTTGCTTTTGCAGATAGCCGAGACCTATTTTCAAGAGGAGGAATGTATCCTTTTACTTGTGGAAATTTTTATGCGATACTAAAATAATCCAGCACAATAAAACATAAAAGACAAATGCTTTACTGTTGACTCACAGGTTGTGGATCAGGGTTAGAAAGAAGCAAACAACAGTCATTTACCCATGAGTGAATATACAATATGTTAGCAAGTTCTTCTTAATCACACAGCTGGGATATGAGTTAAGTAGTAAATCCACTTCCAAAATCTGTACTGATGCAATCATTAGTAGTTGAGTACAAGCAAGGAAGTAAGAAAATATTTTCAAACAACTTCTGTTTTTATAGGATAAGTTCTATTCTAAGTATTATCAACTGGGAATATATCCAATCTAGATAAGGTATGTATTCTATTATATTAAATATGGCACTCTTATAGTAAGAACAAAATTATCACAATGGTTGATTAGAATATGTACTACAAACATCTAGATTAGAATAAAAGTACCAAACACACTGAGCTAAGGGAGATCAGCAACCTGCAAACAATAGCAATGTGTTCTTTGCCAAATGCTAATTAGTCAAAATCATCAAGGTAGTTTGAGAAACTGTGGTAGGAAACTATAGAATCATAGAATGGTTAGGGTTGGAAGGGACCTCAAAGATCATCTAGTTCCAACCCCCCCGCCATGGGCAGGGAAGCCCTCCACTACACCAGGTTGCCCAAAGCCTCATCCAACCTGGCCTTGAACACTTCCAGGGATGGGGCAGCCACAACTTCTCTGGGCAACCTGGTCCAGTGCCTGATGACCCTCTGAGTGAAAAATTTTTTCCTTATATCTAATCTAAATCTGCCCTCTTTCAGTTTAAAGCCATTGCCCCTTGTCCTATCACTACACGCCCTTGTAAAAAGTCCCTCTCCAGATTTCCTGTAGGCCCCCTCTAAGTACTGGAAGGCTGCAATGAGATCACCCCGGAGCCTTCTCTTCTCAGGCTGAACAGTCCCAACTCTCTCAGCCTGTCTATGGGTGATTGCTTCTGAGAACAGCTAGTTCAATGGTCCAGATTATTTTGATTTGTTCCTAGATAATACAAATAAGTTTGATCAAAAAATTATAATAGTTGAACTGCTGCTAATTACTCTGATAAACCTCAGTAATTGTGGGAGACAATAATCATATTAAACCTTAAAAAGAAATTATATTTTTGGAAAAGGTGGACTGAGTTTTCCTCTGTTTGCTTTTAAAGGAAAATGATCAGACTATAAAAAGAAGAGGCAAGAGTGGTAAGCCATTAAATTATATGTTTCACAAAGGTGCGTCATAAATTACAAAATCTGTGCATACAGATTGTTTGTTATAAACAAAATATAGCAAATAGGCAATTATAATGGTTAAATAACAAAGCATAAGAAACCTGGAAAGGTATCCTTGAAACCTAGCCAAATTATATTTGCCTGTAGTACAAAACCAGAGAAATAACTCTTGCAATATTATAAAAGCAATGCATAAAATAAAACATCCATCACTGTCTTAGAAGACTGTTCTTCTGTCTTGGTCATTCGAATTCAAAAGCTTCCATCAGAAAATCCAAAATATACAGCACAAATTAAAGGCATGGAAAAATTCTGTAGTAAATTATGGCTCTGCAGGGGGACATGCAGTAAATTTAAAATGCATTCAGCAGTGTGATAGAAAGACAGTTTCTCTTTCATAGATGTTGCTTTAATTGAAGGGCACTATATTTAGAGCTGATCAAAAGAAATATTTTTAATGCAATGTACAAATGTACACCTGATGTGTGGAATTCAACACCACTGTATAATACATATTTATGAAGGATATCTCCTCTGTACTTGCAACCTGAGGTTAAGAAAGAACTTGCTTGATCATGTTGCACTGTATTAATTATCCATGACAGACATTTTAATTCATCCAGTGTAGAACTTCATATTAACAGTAATTCAGGGTTTGTTGTTGTGATCCTCTAAGGCTATCTCTGATCTGTAATCTGTTTCTAATAACAAATTTCTTGAAGGCAGGGAATATTCTTTCCATTAATATTGTTGTTTATAAGCCGTGCTATGTATATGTTGCATGAGGCTAACAAGAATAACAAGTACTGGTTGTGTTTTAGTAATCATTACTCCAGTACTTTAATTAGCATGAATAATGGAAAATATTTTTTCTATATTACTAAGAACCTCATTCACTGTACTTCTGTCCTCATTGTACTGTAGAATTAAATTTCAAATAGTTGGCAAAACATGGCTTTAAACAGAAAAACAAATAACTTGGGCTTGATGGAACTAGAATTATCCTGACTATTACAAAAAAATATGACTATCGTATACCTTTGTGAATATATTGATAACCCTAAGGCGAACAAGTTCTTCGTATAGAAGAAAAGTAAGCAGAATTTTCTGAAAGAAAACAGAAGGTGAACTCAGCTGTCCAACACTGATGTATACAATAGTTAGGGAGGGTATATTTTAGGAGTTTGAGTTGGAGAAATTTTTTCAATACTGTCTCCAGCTGGTCAGTAGAAAGGAGCCATATTCCATATTTTCAGTGAGTTATGGTTATTGACATATAATTGTATTTCTTGAGAGATATGTACTGGTGTTTGTATAATTGTTTTGCCTTTCATTTCCCAGAGATTTCGTTTTCTGATAAGGGTTAACAGCATAATAACATTCTGCTCATTTCTTTTCTAGAAGAACTTTTGTTGAACTTAAGGCATGTGAGAAGAGGTAACTGCTGAAGAGAATAGGGTTTTCATTTTTGGAACTTTTCTCAACTTCTTTTACTTCTTACATGCTGTTTTCATGCCTGCTGTTGTTTTCTTCCTTGCACAGAAATCTGGATGCTAACCATTATTCGTTTTGATTCAGTTATGTCAGATTTCAGGTACATAGTGATTGCCCTTTCAGCTATGGTGCCAAATATAAATAAATCATAACATGTCCATATATGTGTGCATTTTTCTTTAACCTTCCATTCAGATGAGAAGGCAATGAAGTTCATTCAGCTTGAACGACTGTATCACGAGCAGCTGCTTGCAAATCTTTCTTCCATACAGGAGCAGTGGGGTCAGTACAGGCCACACTAATATGGTAGAAGAAAGAGTTAGTTTAGTTTGTATTTCTAAATAATAGAGTACATACTTTTCTGGCTTAGAAATGTTACATAGCAAAAGCAGCATTTATATCAGAATTTCTTTCAGCTTGTTACAAGAAAAGTATTCCTGGTTTAGATTTCTTCTGCATGTTTCATGAAACAGGTACAAGTAGTTTGCCATTCTTTATTCTGTTAATTGACACTTTGATCGATCCACAATTGTTTGGAGCTTATTTTTTGTTTGGTTGAATTTGGTTTTGTTGGTGAATCTGATGTGATCGAAATAAAGTGTGTTCTCAAAACATACACTTCTTTACATAGTGTGAAACAAGATTGTAGAGCATACGCAGAAGAGTTGTCAGTGTTTCTCCATTAATTAGTTTCACATATATGTTTTATGTTAAGCAAATACTATTTTCATAATACTTCAGGTAAAAACTATTTTGATTTAATTTAGAAAGAAAATGGAAAACAGCAGTTCCTAGTCAAGTTACAACACTGAGGAATTCAGCTAAAGAGCTAAGTGGTGAAGAGTTGGAAAAGCTTACTAGAGTTTGCTCTTCACATCAGCAGTAAGTATAAGAATATGTTATTACTTTTCCAGTACTAATATGTTAGCACAGCTGTTGTCTACTTACCAGTATAGATGTTTTTAAAGAGTCAATCTCAAAATAAAAGTTGCATCCCATTGACTTCAGTGAGTTTGGTTATCAAGTGGTGGTTCTTTTTGATACGTAACTAAAATGTTTCTGTTGCCATCAATTTTCAGTGTTTTAATGTGGTTTGAGGAGTGTGTATGGACTAGATCTGAACTGTTTTCAGCAAATCATTAGTTTGCCAGTAGAGTTTTGAGTTAATTTGTGAGTATTTTCAGTGAAAGTAAAAACCAAGTAGTGTTAATTTAGGAAGAGAGAGACTGTAGTACTGGTGATGGCAACTGTGGCTATACCTATTGTTTTAATCATTGGTTTTAAATGCAATTGCCCAGCATCTCAGACTCCAGCACTCCCATCTACCTTACAGGATTTCATTCTCAAATTGTCTACATTTTTAGGATAATTCCCAAATGTTTTAAGTCATTCTCGTGATCTTCTGTTGATGTCATATAGTTTGCATAAACATTAAGAAACAGTGATTCTGTAGTTCCCTAGTGTGGCAGTATTCTGAAAAGGTGTGAAATCTTAGTTCATACCTGCTTAACCTGATTCTGCAGCCTCCTGAATCAATATATCACAGTATCACAAACTTTTGACAGTGCCGAGGATGCTCTTCTGGGCCCTAACACATATGGAATTTTAACCATCAGGAAGGAGATCTGTTATCCCACCGAGTACGAGGCAATCAAGCCTATTG